GCCAGCGAACATGCATATTCTGTAGCATAAGCAGTTGTTCGACCTTCTAGGAAATTTACAATCCACTCCAGCATTCCACAAAGCAGGAGTTCTTTTTGACATGCGTGCCTAAATCACTATTTTATGAAATTTACGCTTTTATCAGCGCATTAACCCACCTAACGCTAAATTTCTGTAGCATGGCCAAGAGCTGTTCTTGCGTGGTTGTAGGTAATCGTCGACCGCGAAGCACTGGTACGACGCAGTTGAGCACTAGTCGGAGATGGGCTAGATTGCACGTTTGACTTTTCCATTTCCATCGAAATCGACTAGATCTTACTCAAAAGATATTGTCTTCCGCTAGTGAAACTCGCCAGCATATTGATAAGCCTAGCCATTTGTTCTCGAGAATCCACACCATCGGCTTGGAGGACCCGAATCAGGGCGCACTAAAACATTGAGTGACTGACGCGTCCAGTTTCTTTCGAACCGTTTGAAAACTATAAGGCTAGTCGTCCAGGTTAGATGTCTTACGTTTCTTCTGTTTTTCAATTGCAATACATCATTGTCGATGATCCATGCCAGCGCTTTACGCGAATACTCACACGAGGCGGCTATGGTCACTTGCTAAAAATCTCGAATTGAGGCTAGTTGGTGCTTTTTTGGAATATTTTGAGTTAACCTGTCGCAAAGCTTGGAGCAGCAGAGCCGTCCCTCTTCCTGCTGGATGTCCGCAGATCAGTGACGACAGCTTTGAAGGGTCGAGGTCGTTGAGCAGACATCGATCTGATCGCTCACTGAAATTTACCTGACCTGAACAAGTGAAGGTATTGGAATGATTCTGGTTACGTACACGACACTCGATTCTTTTCTTGGTGAAGATGACGTCTTTGGATCCGGTGGCACTTCGTGTACTTCGTCACTGGATCGAAAATGTGCTAAATTTGCACTATCGTAGCGAGCATCAACCAGACGTCTGATTCTTCGCACTATCTCATGCTAGTGCCTTATTTTTACCTTTTTAGAGACTATTATAGCACTTACCCCTATCTGCAGCAAGTGATGAACGAACGGGTCGAGTAGGCAACTTTCGTGCCGCCCTCATTCGGGCTGAGAGCAGCTGATATTTAACCTGAAGCAATCTTATAGATAAGAACGAAAGGGAGAACGATTTTGCCGCTTTGGTTAATGAACATTTCAAACAACTTGCTATGAGAACAGCTTGAACAAAGAGCTCGCTGAATCTCTACAACAAAAAAGAGCGAAAGCTTGCATTAGTTAATTAATTCGCAAGAGAGAAATCCAGTAGCTATTCAACAATTATGCACAAGGAAAAGAGAAGAAACAAAAGATGGAGGTGATGGGTCATTGTAAAGAAGTTGTTCGAA